AAAGAAAAATAATGAAAATAATTATTATTTTATACGGTTTTAACCCTCTGCAACTGACGTGGTTAAATTGTTACAATTCAACTGAGGTGTATATTGTACGAGACACCATTTCAACAGCAAATATTTTTGTAGAATTAAAGTATAGCGAGCACTATACAGTAAGGTACTCGCAGCAGTGATGCTCGTATTTGAAAAATGACGGTATAACACGTGATTTTGTATTTCGCGGTGTCTGTGGGACTACACGTCAGCTGCAGACGGTTATGTTACTTTTGTATCTAAATTGGTTTTAATGAGGCCTATCGTAATTTTGTTTACCAGATGACTCTAGTGAGAACCTCTCATTGTTCATCCAATAGGGAATTAGCGAGTGTCAGATCATTAGACAATTATCCTCTTGTCTGTCTACATATAGGTGGTTCCTCACCTATTCGAGTGTAATGTAACGTTACAGATCCTAAGCATTACATCAGTGAAGGAGAAGGAACCGAGCATTACAATGCGCACCTTGTAATGATACAAAACGGGCATACATCAGTAAAGGATTTTTTTTAAGGGGGGAAAATCATCGAATAACTGCTCCCGCCTGGGTGAGGCGGGAGAGTGTCAGACTCTTACTGACTAAAAACCACCCCGTTCCTTCTCCTGCACGTCGAGCCGGAGCCCCGGTAACCCGTTAGGTTCTCCGCGACTCCATCAGTAAAGGATAAGAACCGAGTATTACATTGCGCACCTTGTAATATCTTGATACAACTTGTAACATCAATGCCCCCACTCCCGGCCCGCCCGCTTCGTCTGACATCTTGTTATGAAATGCTCAAAGTCGAGTCAATATGTTACAACACAAGCAAATGCTCGTCAGTCAGGGAGGTATTATTGTAATGTAATGGTCAAAGTCGAATCTATAATGTTACATTACACGTGAATGCTCCCGGTGTGGGAGCACCTTATGAGACACAATCGAAAATACAGAAATGTCTCGCGTAGAAATGCGTTCGATCTGCGATACCAGAGGTTAATCGACAGCCGCTGTGATTTGGCAAAATATCATCTGTTTATAATCCCACCATATGATGAGCAGAAAAACGTTAGCCCTCATTCTTATGTTTTCGGCTCACTCACGTACCTAACTATCATGAATATGAGACTTTAGCATGGCTTGAAACTAGTCGAGTTCTTCGTCAAACAGTTACGTGATTAACCCGATCACTTAATAATTAATTTTGTATGTCTCACGAAAGATTTAACATATATACACAGGTTTTGTTGATCTACCAGTATAATGGTATAGTAAAACAAGGGGGTTACATATATAAGTTCACGTCTGTCTTCCATGGGGTTAGGCAGAGACTATGGAACGCCAATTGTTACGAATCCTACATACTTTTTTTTTTTAAAGAAAAACGTTGCCCCACACTAGGATTTTCTCCTGTGTCGTGGGTGCGTTTATAAACATACAAGTTCACATACAGAATATGACACCCAGACCCGAAACAACAATTTGTGGATCACACAAAGTGTTGTTCTGTGCGGGAATCGAACCCGCGACACGTTGCACGGCAGCCGGTTGCCCAGCCACCGCACCAACCGTGCAGTCGTCTTTCTTTCCTTCAACAGTCATCAATCTTTTCATGAATGCTCATTTCAACAATAGGGTACTCCTAAATACATCCACTCCATTATAGACCTTATTTGTAACGTTTAGAGACTACTTTAGTTTGGGTATTAGATGGGAACAAGTTTGATATTTGATGCTGTGGTAAAACAAGGGGTAACTTCTAAATACCTACTCCATTATAGACCTTATTTCCAATGTTTAGAGACTACTTTAGATACTAGATGGGAACAAGTTTAATATTTGATGCTATTGTAAAAAAAGGAGTAACACCTAAATACCCACTTCATTATAGACCTTATTTCTAACGTTTAGAGACTACTTTGGTTTGGGTACTAGATGGGAACAAGTTTGATATTTGATATCCAGGTTAGACCAAAATTATTATTATTAAGAAGTTATTTATTTGACTATCAAAATTATTTGGCAACAAGTGTTTATAGCTATCTGTTGCCCGCAACTTAGTCTGTGTAGAATATGAATTATAAAACATAACTTTTCTTTTGTTTCAATTTTCCAAAATAAAAGTAGCCTATGTTACTCCTTAGTACATCAGCTACCTGCTAATAAAAGTCTTACAAAATCGGTCCAGCCATTCCAGAGATTAGCCAGTACAAGCAGACAGACACACATAATTTTAAAAATTGTAATTTTGGTATTTGTAACATATGTATATTCATATGCATGTAGTAAAAAGAGGTTACTTTAATATTACAATCAGACACTTCAATTTTATTTATCTGTATAGATTTATAGATATCAAGGGCATGTTTCACAATGTCTGGATAGCTGTATGTACCAAATCAATTACTATACAACACTTCCTTAACTCGTCGAGTACCGGTTTTGTAGACACAATTATAGAACAATAGGTTGCGGTCACCGGTGACTGCTTGGTGTTTGACAGTTTAATCCCTGATTATTTATTTAAACTTTAATGTACACAGAAACAAGTAATGGTACATAAAGCGGACATTAATGCCATATGGCATTCTCTCCCAGTCGACCTTATTTATGAAAAACCTACAACATTTGTTCATACAAAAGTAGTCACTAAACATGGGAAATAAAGTCCATTATGGAGTAAGTGGAGAACAGTCACCGGTGACAGCTTTGGGGATCAGGCATTTAATTTGTATAGACTATTAGTTACTTCTATAAAGGTGTTAAAACAGGCCCTTAGTCAAGGTAACTCAGGCACCAAACCACAAACCTCCATGATTGACATTTACCCTTTTTGAAAGAGCTACTAACTATAAAGTTAACAAAGTTATTTTAATTAACCTTATAACAGGTGACTTCTAATTGTTAAATGTCAATAAAAGGTCATTATATCATCATTGTATATTATTAATAAATATTGTGACGGTTGACTGCTCATTTACCTTGTCAAGCATAAACTTTGAGATTCAAACTGTAGATTATATTGCTATACTCCAAAAGATTCTAGAACCAATAGGAACTCCCTGTGATGGTAACAAACAAGTCTTATTTAAAAAAAACCAATTAAACTGTCAAACACCGAGAGGAGGAGAGGACACCAGTGTCCGCACACCTATTGTTCTTTAATTGTGTCTATAATGACGGTACTCAAAGGGTTAAATGTTTATTTTATGTAATGTTGTAATCAACAGCTCAAGGCTGATGTTGCATAAATAACGCGAAAACAAAAATGTTTACACTTGTAAAATAATTTATTTATGTCAGCGTTCCGTTTATTCTCTGCCTTTACATATATCAGACACAATTCCAAACTCTGCCAAAGCAATGATTTAAAAAAAATAGTTTTAAGTTTCCAACAAAGAAATATGATCACATAGCTACAAGTGTATGACTCATTTCATGGAAAATTAATATGTAAACAGTCTGAGAACAGGTTAGGACATGACTATTATTTTAATTTGCAGTTACCCAGTCTAACCTAACTTTCTAGGCTATTGGTGCATATTTACTGTACTAGCAGCTTTGATTCGCATTCCTGTAGTACAAAAATAGCCTGTGTGTAATTCTAGATCATACCTAATCTTGAACAGGGGTCTGTTCAAAATTGCATCCCGATTCATTCAGCTGTTTTGATGTGATTGGGTAAAAAATATACACACAACCTCACTATTTTTGCATTCTTCATAGTAAGATCGCTAATATGCTACAACTCGTTATATATTTTGATTCCGAAGGAGATAGACACTTACAAGAAGTATCAATAGTCTTTCAGCAAGTAGATTTGGCTACTAAATAAACTGATAATTAGATTACGGAGTCCATCCTTTAACCCGTTGAAATCCATCCCCTAAATTTGGTCATACAAAAGTAGTCTCTAAACATTACAAATAAGGTCTATAATGTAATGTAATATTAGTGGAAAGCGGTCACCGGTGACCGCTTGGTGATTTATGGGTTAATGTAATACCCACTTTTTGTAACTAAAACCTCATTTTGCAAAACAAATTGAACCTATTGCCTTACTACTCTCAATATGCATACATATGTAAACTCCTTACATGAAAGCCTTTGTTCCCACAAGCAATTTTACTTTTAATCTTTGGTTTCTTACCATATTCTTATAGGAACATTACCAAATACAAATCTCAGAAAAAATATCATTCATATAAGACAAAGAATACTGACAAGAAATCACTCTTAGGTGTATATAACCACCTCAGTTGTTTTAGATCAAAATTTACAGCTTTTCAAGACTTAACAGTGTACTATAAAGTATATCATACTACTCATTTATCCCCAAGCAGTCACCGGTGACCACTCTCCATTATCTACATTATAGACCTTATTTCCGATGCTTAGAGACTACTTTTGTATGAACAAATTTAGGGGATGTATTTCAACAGGCTAATGTTTAAGATAAAGAACTAGTAGATCAACAAAACAATTACAAAGACTTATAAATGCTTACAAAAGTGATGTTATATCTCACCTCAGCACTCCATTGGCGCTATTGAGTTAGAATTGTCACCATATCCACTCAAACTCCCTTGGAACTCAATCCCACTGATCTGACTGTCAGCATTGAACGATGCACCATAAGAATCATTGCTAGGGGCGTGAGACGTCTCCAAATTACCGTCTCCAGAGTCCGTAGCCGCCGCGGCGTCAGGTTCAGCCCAATTGATCTTAAATCTAGTCACACGGGGCTCGGAAGCGAGGATATTTCTCACTACTTTGTCAAAACGGGGCTTCGGTGGTGGATTCTCACGTAATTCAGGCTCTGATTCAGAGTATTCGTTGTTAATGAAATAACCTACTCTCACGAACTCTTGGCCTCTGTAGGAACATGTTAGGAGTACCACTGTGACGCCTAGAGCGTCGTTTTCGGGTATCCGTGTCACATCAGGTGGTGGCGCTTGGAAAACAAACATGTGCCTGCCTTCAGGTATTGGGCCGACGTATATCGTGTCTAACACCTGGTCGTGCTCTTCTGTTTCGGCGGATCCAACGTATATCATCTTCCATTCTAAGTCTTCTTTTAGTTCTTCGATGCATTCGAAGGTTAATTCGAATTGGAAAGGGTTTAGAAACGGACTAGGATTGTCGAGTACAACAACATTGGTTATGTGCACTTTTGCCATAATTACAAGTTTTTGATAAAGTTTCACTTCAGCCAAAGGCTTAGCACGTGTTTTTGAGTATTTTTAACGATAAAGAATCAAGAAATGCGAGGAAATTAACCGTTTTCTTCTAACGACAGAAAATTCTGTGGGTCGGCGAAAAAAAGTGACAATTATTTTGGCGGTTGAATTGGTCACGTGACCAAAATAAGTATGGACAGCAGCGCCGCCACGGAAATGACACGTACTAAAATTAAAAAGTTGAAACAGTTTGACAGTGACGATGATAATTTAAAATAAGAGGAATAAAACACAATATTTTGTTTAGGAAAGCGTTTCAAAACAGCAGACTAAACGACATGCCTTATAATCTATTACTGAAATCATACAAACTCACGTTTTTTAGAATTTTCTTATTTGTTTTCTTCACTTTATCGGCACAACAAAACGTCAAGTGAACAACATAGACAATGATGATATGACCTCGTATTGTTGCCATGCCACTGTCATTTCCATTATCAGCATAGTAATTGTTGTCTATGTTCGTCAGCAAAAAGTATATAATTTGTAAGTCCTTTCAAATTATAAATTTTTATATTATCACTAATTTATTATAAAACTGTAATAAAACAAATGTTCTACCATTAACGTATATCTTCGTTTGTCATTTATATGAAGTCAAGTACTACAAGAATACCTTTAATTTTTTTTATTTATTTTTTTATTATTTTTAAGCAAATGAATAACAAAAAAGTTTCATTCAACCCAAGTTATCTTTGAAAACTTTTTTATTCAATGGCAATAATGAAAGTCCAAATGTCATAAATAATAAATATGGCGTTACTGCTTTTGTGTTCATTGTGCATGTTTCCCGTCAAATAAATAATATTGTAATATAAAACAAAACATAATTATTTCGCAACGACGCAACCAATGCGTAACCCGCCGCTATAACAATATAGCATGAAGGTCAAACGCTGACAACCTGTTTTAAACTGAAGAGAAAGGTGCAAGTTTACACTTTGCAAAAAGGTAATTATTTTTTGCAATTTAAAATAAGAGGAATAAAACACAATATTTTGTTTAGGAAAGCGTTTCAAAACAGCAGACTAAACGACATGCCTTATAATCTATTACTGAAATCATACAAACTCACGTTTTTTAGAATTTTCTTATTTGTTTTCTTCACTTTATCGGCACAACAAAACGTCAAGTGAACAACATAGACAATGATGATATGACCTCGTATTGTTGCCATGCCACTGTCATTTCCATTATCAGCATAGTAATTGTTGTCTATGTTCGTCAGCAAAAAGTATATAATTTGTAAGTCCTTTCAAATTATAAATTTTTATATTATCACTAATTTATTATAAAACTGTAATAAAACAAATGTTCTACCATTAACGTATATCTTCGTTTGTCATTTATATGAAGTCAAGTACTACAAGAATACCTTTAATTTTTTTTATTTATTTTTTTATTATTTTTAAGCAAATGAATAACAAAAAAGTTTCATTCAACCCAAGTTATCTTTGAAAACTTTTTTATTCAATGGCAATAATGAAAGTCCAAATGTCATAAATAATAAATATGGCGTTACTGCTTTTGTGTTCATTGTGCATGTTTCCCGTCAAATAAATAATATTGTAATATAAAACAAAACATAATTATTTCGCAACGACGCAACCAATGCGTAACCCGCCGCTATAACAATATAGCATGAAGGTCAAACGCTGACAACCTGTTTTAAACTGAAGAGAAAGGTGCAAGTTTACACTTTGCAAAAAGGTAATTATTTTTTGCACTTTCTTTTGCATTTGTACACATAATTGTTATTTAACGACTGCATCACAGTTATATCTGCGTCTTACATGTGTAGGTTTCCGGGTTACTTTTATACTGAGCGTGTAAATCGAAAGTTTATCGCGTTGTGTTGGAAGTTCCATAGATGGTAGTACACTTTAATAGGATGTATTGTGAATAGTTTTTAACTGAGTCACCGTCACGTCAGTGTCCCGTATGCCCTCCGCAATTAATTCCGACCATGCAGTGCGTCAATTGTGTATCGTTAGCACAGATATGGGTCGCAAAATCCTGACTGTAGACCACTACACTTATAAATCGTCTCCAACAAATTACGAAGCAATTATTCATGTTTTTAAACTCGTAAATAAGTTTGTTAATGATGGATGTGCAACTATAATTTATCGGTTGTATGCATTTTAGTTCAAGGTATCTCACATTTGCATTAATTATGACTTTGCTTATAGTTTCTAATAAGATTCTACTGTTTCTATTGTTGATGGAAACTAAAAAGTATTTCAAAAAATGAATATATTGTATAAGTCCTATAAGACATTTATTTTTGAGGGTTACTATCAGGTAATCAGATTTTTTATTCAATACCTTTTCATTAATATAATCTGTGCTATAAAGAGTACCATGTCATCATGAGGTCTTCTCAGGAGTTTGTTTTACGTTTAAAGCAATTGAAACAAGGCACTCCGATTGGTCGGTTAATTGGAGATGGCTAATCAGTGCTCAATACACATACTCGTTTCGATTTATTGAAAGTAAAATAAACCTGTAGTAAGCCCTCTGTTAATTCAGAAGGGATAAGTATGTATTTATAAAAGACTTGTTTTATTAATTGCATTCAAAGTCAATAAATTTATAATGTAATGTAATGTTGTATAGTTACTTATTTCTTGTTATAAGCATTAGTCTACATCAGTGGTTCCCAAAGTTGTAGAGACTACGACCTATCTAAACCCAGTTACAAACCTCAGGGCCCATATATACATAACATCACGGCTGTTTCCCATGAAGGTAGTAGACTCTATGGATCCACTTTTAGGAAATGAAACTGTTACCAATAGGATAAGTAAAATATAGAATGGTTGGTTAGCGTGTCATACAGACAAGGCCCACTAAAATTTCGCTTGCAACCCATCAATAGACCAATAGACCAGGATTTACCATAGTTTGGTAAATTTTCTTAGTCATTATATTATTGCTTCAATCATTTTGATAATGTAATAATGCGTTCAGAGTAATTTTATAGTTGTCCTTAAGATTGTTTTCTTTTTCGGTGTCTTTGACTGAATTTTGGTGTTACATTGTTCTCACACATTGAACCATCAAAACTATGTAACTGGAGAAATGTATTGTGAACCTGATTGAAAAAGAGCAACCTATGGAGTTTCTTGCTCGTTCCTCTCCAGAGGAATCTACACTTTGGAATGAGCAAATAGCTTCACTATTAAATTTTTTGTTGATTGCCTTCCTGATCTAATTAAAACTATGATTTTGAGATTTTTTTCTCTTTACCTCAAATGAAGAAATTCATATCAAATCATAATATCAAAAAATACCAAGTTATTGTAAAAGAATTAGTAATTAAAATCAGTTAAAACGAACAAGGATATCATTAGTACATAGCTTCCTACAATAACTAATAGTACTGACATAATAGCTAAAATATGATTTTTTAGCAATAAAAAATGACTAAAATATTGCATTAATACTGTAATTATATGCTAATCATATTCAAATATATGTCGGCATCAGTACACGAGTTGCATTCAGTTAACGTCTCAGCTGTATACATGTTAGGACATATTATATTACCAGAGAAGTTCTGTTTTCAAACTTGGGAGTATTCATGAAAGAAAATGGACAGTGCAAACCAAATGTTTGGGCCCATCCTTCAATAGAAAAATGTGGATTTTCAAATGGAACAATAGATCTTTATAAATGTTCTGTTCTTTCTACCTAATATTAGTACCACTTTGGATACTAGAGGAGCTTGTTACTTTTTTTTTATAGCATAAGCTGGTAAACGAGGCCACCGATCACCTGTTGGTAAGCAATCGGCGTCGCCCATGGACATCCGAAACAACAGGGGCGTTACCGGCCTTTTAAGAATTGGGGATTGGGGAGACTGGGAAAGGGGGTAATTGGGCCTCTGGTAACCTCACTCACACGATGAAACACATCGCAAGCCTTGTTTCACGTCGGTTTTCTGCTCGGCCGTGGTATCACTCCGGTCGAGCCTGTTCATTCGTGGCGAAGCATGGCTCTCCCACACTTAAACTAATACACTTAAGGCATTTAAATAAAACCATTTAAATTTTAATTTTCAGCAGCTGAATCACGTATATACAATGGCATCTAGCAGAGAAAGAGATGAAGGACCTGTGTACTACAGGGAGATACAGAAGAACGCATACCTAAAACGGATACCTAACGAAGTTGGCGGTAGCAAACTGAGACCCCTTAGTAGTAAGGTAGGATTCTTGGATATTTTCTTTGTTTTTAAATAAACAATAGGCTCACCCCCTATTACATAGGACATAACATCACGCCTTTTATCCCCAAAGGGGTATGCAGACCTCTGAACCTGCACATTACGGCATTTAATGCCACTGTACAATGTAATGCGCACTTTTCACTGTTATGAGTTCCATTGCTCGAGAAAAGTGAGCCTATTGCTATATACCGGGCACAATTCCAGACTTCGTGCTACCACTGTTAGTTTGCCTAAAAACCCAGTGTTAGTTTGCCCGACCCGGGAATCGAACCCGAGACTCCTTGCCCGGCAGTCGCACTTGCGACCACTCGGCCAACGAGACAGGCAGCATTATTACATAGGACTCAAAACATAAATAGTGAAAAGTGGGTGTTACATTGTACAGTGGCAGTGCTATAATGTGCACCTCTGCCTTCCCCTTCGGGGACAAAAGGCGTATTTTTTAAAAACCACCCCGTTCCTACTCCTGCACTTCGACCCAGAGCCCCGGTAACCCTTAAGGTTCTCCGCGGCTCCGTATCGGCATCAGCCCTATTGGGCCCCATCCGTGGTGGTCTGATGGCTCTTTGAGGCGCGCGGGGAACGCTCGGCGCCGTACGCTCGGGTCTGTTTCTGGTCGGACGGGGAGCCACCCATGCTCGCCGTCCGCAGGCCCGCGCTTACGGTGGCCGGAGATCGGGGGATAAAAGGCGTGATGTTATGTTCTTTGTTTTTCTTTAGTGTTTCATTACCTTTGTCATGTACTCAGACACGACAGTGCTTGATCTTATAACTATATATAGATACTATACTATAAATGCGCTAAGCAAAGAAAAATATAGTGTCTGTGCAATCTCCAGGAGGGAAGTGCTTGGGTCAGTGGAGCTGGCCAATCAGAGCGGTGAACGCAATAACGCTTCGATCTCATTAAACGTGATATAAATTCGTACGAA